AGCAAAGAAATTAAACAAACAATAAGCCCGTGAAGTGAAGCCGAGGCGTGGGGGCGCGTCCACCGAGCAGTGGGGACGCGCAGCAACAAATGGGACGACCAGCACACACACACTCACTCTCCGTTCCCGCACAGCCCAGTCCAGGAAGAGAGAAAGAGAGGTCGACCACTGAAAGCAATGAAAACAAACAAAATACGAAGATGAACACAGTTACGGTGCTGTGCCCATGCAGCCAAGCAAGGCGGCAGCGGCCCATCAGGGGGCAAAAACAAAAAGAAAGCTGACGGGCCTGCATGAGTGGAGGTGTGCATATATATTTAGGTGAAGCCAATATTCATCTCTTTCCAAATAGTTTTTATGCCCCCCACAATTTCCACGCAAAGCAAGTCCGCCCAACACACACATATCGGTTTTGCGGCCACTGGAAAGCAAAGCAATAATTATTGTTCTTTTCCGCCCTTCAAAAAGCAAACAGGAGTAGCGCAGTGGGTGAGTGCATCATATTATTGTTACTGCTCTATTGCGGCCTGAGTGCGGGGCTCCACGGGGACACACAGGTGCGTGTGCGTATTCATTACTCCCGCGCCGTGGGTTGTTGGCGCCCAGCCGCCGCCGTTCCTGCTGCGGCTCAAGGCAGCAGCATCGCCACTGCGGCGGCGGCGGCGGCCACGACGAGCAGTGCTAAGTGACTGCAGCCAACAGCCGTACTGGCGTCGCTTCCGAGTTGCTGCGCCGCCACTTCAAGTTTCTTCTGCACTGCGCTGCCGTTGACGGTCGCCGCGGCTGTCGGGGTGGGCGGCGCAGGCACATCGGGGGCCGCCGCTGCTCCGGCCGCCGCAGCCGCCCCTCCGGGGGAATCGCCACCCGCAGCTGCAGAAGAGGCCTCTGCACGGGGCGGCTCAAGCACCGGAGGCGTCACCCCCTCCAGCACGCGCGGAATGACGAGGCTGCTGCCGTTGGCGGCGATCGTGCACACCTCCTCGTACTTCGGGCACTTGATCTTCGCGCCCTCCTCGAAGTGCTCCGACGCCGTCAATTCGATTGCACTTCCCTCGGGGCACGGCACATACTCAGCGGCGCCGAGGTACTTCACCTTCACCGTGCCGCCCTCCCCGCACTGCACCTCCGCACACACCGCGCGGAGGTCGATGGGGCCCAACTCGGCCTTCCCAGCAGAACCCTTCAACCTCAGTGCTTCCGCATCGAGGCACCACGAACCTCTCCCGCGGAGGAAGCCGGGGATGGTTTTATCTCCCTCCACGCTGCAAAAAACCTCTGGACCCGGATCCGCCCAAAACACCGGGCACGTTTCGTTCGGGGCCCCGCTGCCTTCAGCAATACTCTTTTTACATACCCCGATGGATTGACGGTTGGACGTGCAGCGAAGCGTTTCGCCGTCGGTCCCCTTATCGCAGAACATGCCGGGGTATTTGGCAGGCGTTTCCGCAGAGCACGGGCTCTTGAGGAGGTCGCAGCCGGAGTTGTTGCCCCACGCCATCGGCTCCTCCATCCCCCACACGGCCTTGTAGTAGCCGAGGTCCTCAAACGCCGCCATCGTCAGCGCGGTGTAGTAGCCGGCGGTGAACCCACCAAGAAAGCTCATCAACTCGTCCTTCGCGTTGCGCGGCGACCAGTAGGGCTGCACAGCACCACCGTTTATCCTGAGCAGCTCCATGCCCTGCAGCTCGGGGCAGCCGTAGTGTGCCTTCGTTTTTTCCAGCGTAGCAGGCGACTTCACCACCGTCACAGGGTTGGGGTTGCCGCGCACATCGGTGACTTCCTCCAGCATTTCCCGCGCCCTCATCTGCTCCACGCCGAAGCCAAGCGCATGTCCGAT